AAATTTGGGCAGTACTGTCAGTTACGAAAATTGATGAATAAATTAATACACATAAAATATGAATCACGGGCTAATTCAATGGTCACCGAACACTCCACTACTAAACAATCTGTGGCAAGATAGTAGCGTACTGTATATTTGACCCAGATTTGACAAGCGTGGTACAGTTTTTTGCGCGTGTCCGTAATAACGCGCACAAAGGATTGTGGGACAGAGTTCTTTATTTGCTGGCATTCTTGACTTTTGACTGCAGTTCTTTTTTATATTTTAGAGTAAATGCTTCTGATATGCTCTTACATTGCTTAATATCCGTCTGAAATTCTGGACTGTGGTTGTATATTTAAATAACTCACCGTGAATAGTGTTTTGCATTATGAAGTATATTATTATGAAGGTCAAAACACTGTACTTTAGGTAAATATTTACCATTTCGTTATTTCATTATTTCGCTTTCCAGCATTTTCAGGAAACGCTTCATTCTAGAAAATGCTATCGCAAAATGGTTGGAAATAATAAATGTAACAGCAGGATACGTCCTAGCACAGTCACTCTACTAGAACAGTGACTGTGGACCTAGTAATATACTAAGTGACTCCTAAGACTGAGTGGTGTTTGCGAACTTCGTATTAGTTATAAACCGACGTTAGCTTCACGTTTATGTCACACCATGGAAACAGCCAAAAACATGTTGCTTGTTTTTGAGCGGAGCGGATCGCCAACCAGCCTACCGGCTTGTTTGAGTATGACCAAGTCACTTACATGTAGTTTTGTGTCTGGCTTGTCTGGCTCATCTGGGTTAACACTATGGTAGCAGAAAACAACCATTGATGTATGGCAGGATATATCAACAATATTTATTCACCACAACAGCTAGTGTAATCTAAAAGTTATGTTTTTACCTCTATGTAAACCAATCCACCATATGGTCCAATCTCAGGCTGCCATAAACCCAATAAATACCCATAGGGATGAAGAACTGAAATGGCAATACATACAACTCAATATATGGTTTATAGTGACACTCATACAAACATGTCCAAACAAGTTCTTGTTAATGACAGAGTTTCTGTTGGAATTAGGAAAAATGTTATTCATTCCAAAAATAAATTGCACCAATAGCAGAGTTGATAATCTAAAGTTAATAATTGGCTTGTCTAGTATCAGCAGAAATTAGACTCTTCCAAAATCGTAATTTTTGCTCAGAAATTAAACAGGATATGATATTCATACATTTTTTGTATCCAAACTGAATTTCATTTGTCCAGACTCATGTACAGAGATACAAGACACACAACGAATCATTATGGACAAATAATCTCAACATGTACAAGTCATTGAAAATGACACAGTCTCTGTTAAATTTTTGAAAGTTCTCTTGTGCTCAACATATTAAAGCGGAAGAGGGGTTGTCGCGAGCGTGTCTTTGAAACTTGAGTCCCAAGTGGCAAATACAACAGATTGTTTATTTACATCAAATTCAAACATGTGTTGCGTGACAACCCCTCCGGTTTAAGATATAGCAGAGAAAAACATAGATCACACGTGAAAGCAAAACAAATTGAGGTAGATGTCTATGGTTATTGCACTCGCTAAAATTGTTTAAAGTATGTTTGAGAAAATGAAAGTCTGAGGATGGGAATGAGGCACTAAAATTACATTACCAGATGTACATCTCATGAATATGAATGCTTGTTGCCATGGTGCCCTACAATAAATCTTTACATGGGGCTTTAATACAATGTTAACATATGTGTAATGACCGAATTTGAGATTCTGTGATAGGGAATACAGCAATTGCAACTCTTTGTATTGTTAGTTCTGGACTAAAGTGGCTAATAGACACTTTGTACAAGTCAAGCGCCCTCTTGTGTTGAATAATATTGTGAAGGCAGTGTCCTCAAATTTGCAGTTTTAATAAATATAAGTTCAAAATAGTGTGTTGAATAGAATTTAACGTTTGTCACACCTTTAATTTAAATTCACATGGGAGGCCCCCTCAAACGATGGTGATCTATCTGTGAATTACACTTGCCCATCTACATCATAAAATTAAAAGAACTCCCCCTGCTGGGGGATAAGTTCGTCAGTTTATTATTGTAAAACGTCCATATCCCCATAACCATATCTGAGAGGCGGGAAGCAATATAGATATGCGAAAGGCACTTGCTTGTTTTATTTTTAAAAAACAAGATGGCTGCCAGTCAGCCATTTTGAATCGAATCGCTGAACCACTGCAAGTGCATATGTCCCACATAAAGTACTAGACACATGCAAAGAATGAAAGGAATCTGTCCATAGGATTCTGAAATATGATTTCAAACGGACGGATGCACGGAATGACGGTCGGAGGACATGTATTCTAACATGTATAATCTATGTACCAAATTTGAATGAAAACTGACAAAGCATGTCCAAAATACGACATTTTCAAAAACACAAGATGGCTGCCAGTCGGCCATTTTGAATTGAATGTGCATATGTCCCACATAAAGTACTAGGCACATGCAAAGAATGAACGGTCCAAAGGATTCTGAAATATGACTCCGGACGGACGGACACACAGACGGACGGACTTCATTCAAACATGGACTAATAATGTTTGTATCAAATCTGAAAATCAACAAATCCTGTCCAAGATGCCACATTTTCAAAAAAATGCGTCGGCCATCTTTGATCTGATTAAGGAACAAACTGACATGGACAGGTATTCTAATATGTATGATGTGCGTGCCAAATATTATTGAAAATTGCTTAATGTTTGGAGATATATGTAGTAGTATGTTCAAAAAGCAAGACTAGGCCGCCATCTTTGATTTGATTGTAAAACAAATTGTCATGGACATGTAATCTGAAATGTACAATGTATGTACAAAATTTGAACAAAAGCTGACAAAGCATGCACAAGATACCACATTTTCAAAAAACAAAATGGCTGAAAGTCGGCCATGTTAGATCCGATCACAAAACGAATCATCATAGACATGTATTCTAACATGTATAATGTATGTACCAAATCAATAAATAAGTATTGGCCAAGATCTAAAACATAATACTATTATAAAATGATGTTAAATTGCTTATTTATATACTTACTTTTTGCATACATATCTCGAAATGTTGGCTTTCTCCATCCTTCAAGTTTGTCTACACCATATTCTATTGGCAAAAGTTAAGAAAGGATCATGTGTGATAAATACATAGATATTGAAAATATTTTCGTAATAAACTGTCCGTACGCATTATCAAGGGAGCGCTTTGTCAATAATGAGTGAAAATTTCAAGGCAATTGGCCAAAGTGTCTATCAGCTATTTTAATTTAAAACCCCAGAATTCACCAAAAATAGAAGACGAGAAAAAAGCTGATTTGCATATTTGCACGTTAAACCGGGAATTACTGCTTTGTCACACTTTGTCAGACTTTCTAGACAATTGAAATTGAAGTGAACATATAGACATAGACATTTGATGTAAAATCGTTGAACCAGAACAACTGCTCTTGAATATATAAATCAGAAACACGTCATTCGTACCAGTGTTTTGATGGGGGTCGGTAAAAACATGTGGTAATTCTCAGTAAATATCACGTCATCTCCAGCACCGACCATAAAATCTCAAAAATTTCGACCGGTTTTAAATAATTTGTGTTGAAAATCTGACATGCTTTTAGAGTACAAAATTAAGGTGCATTTTCGAACAGTCGAATTTTTCAGAATAGAAATCCGCAAATGAAACAAGCAGCCAGTCGGCTGAGATAGCTCTGCTGTTAGCAATGCACACTGCAATTAAAGAACAGAAGATATCATTGGAAAATGAACAATATGTATAGTATCAAAGCAATGGGACTTGCTGTTTTCAACAAGAATTCAAAAATATCACAAATAATCATCAAAATTAGATAATTGAAGATATCAACACGAAATTAACAAGTCTGAAAGAGTTGCAATCGATGCAACTTCAACTATCCATTTCTCATCTTGAAATAAAAAAAAAAAAATCGAAGAGCATCGGGGGATACATTAATAACCAGTCTTACCAATCGCAAGCTTTATTATTGACACCTATTCGCTACCATTATTTTTATAATGATGTGCCAATCTTAACCAACCATGTACACACCATTTCACCATTTCCTAACCATGGTAAATATTTGATTTTATTACACATGTACTGCAGTTTATTTTGATTCGTCCCTAAAATCAAAATCGGTATTTCAACACCTCATATGCAAATGAGGTCTGACAGCAAACAAAGTAGTCCCTTTGAGAGTACCGTTTTTCGAAACATGGCAGAAATAAACAATATTAAGAAGTACTATATTTTTCTTTTGGGGTACATGAACATACTTGCCTAGTGAAATGAAATTTGAGCAACAGTAATGGTACCTTTAGCCAGTCACTTATTTTGACTAAAACTAATTTGCATATCACCCATGCAATAATGTTTTCGGTATTTTCACGGTCGATATGCAACTGAACATGGTATTTCCATTGGCTACCGAACTATTTTTATTTTATAAACACATTTTTGTCCGGTTCATCGTCAGGCAACATTTTTGGTGTGTTAGGTGTACATCACATGGAATACTATGATTGGGAGAACTTAATATATGTTGACCACCTGGAAACTGAGTTTTATAAACCTTGAAGGGCTCTCGGAAGATCCACCCGCAGTAAAATCAGCGTTTACTATGCAGCCGCAACCATCAACATCAACATCAGGTTTCTGCTGGCAACGTTGCGGCGTTAGTCCCAAATAAAGATTATTAACGCCAAATAAGCAACATTTTAACCGGTAACCAAGACTCAGTCAATCCACGACCAACAAGCAACATCACACACGAAGTTGTAGCGTGCAGCTCAGCGACAACAGCTGTCGACGAAAGTCAACCCGTCAGTGGAGTACCGTAGTTGCACGGCATGTTTGCCAATACATAATTCTGTGGAGTAACTTTTAACTTCAACATAAACTGTGTATTGTAGTCATCCAGTTCTGGTTCTGCCGTGGTCCCAACTAAACGTCCACGAGTAATTTATTCAGACAGTGATTCAGATTACACGCATGATTATTTTATTTCCACACAGACAGTGGCACGCGTTCTACACTGACACGCGTTGCTAGGGAGCAACACTACCTTGGAACATATTAATGGGCAATGGGGTTCCCGACCTAAATTCCAGCCGAATTCGTTGCACGTTGTTTCTTTAATACGAAATAATCAAATATGGAACATGTGTAATAATAACAGAACCCCACACCCTCCCCATGGCTTTCGTTGCGTATGG